GATTTATTATTTTTCTTATTTCCATATTAAGAATATTTGTAATTAGCAGTTTGTTTTCATATGTAGCAAGTTCTTAATTATCCGTTGTTTTCTCTTACAATAGGACTCACGCCATATGCAACTAGTGCTAGCAATCAAGGCCCCGCTTAGAGGAGGACCCCATTATTTGTCTACTTATTAGGCCCATTAAGAAAAATGTATTACGAGTATTTAATAATTATGTTTGCTCAGCCTTATCTTTTTTGGGACACCTAGAAAGGACGAATAGACTAATCGGGATTTGAAAAACTCTCTTCTGTTAAATAAATATATTTAGAGAATATTAATTACTCCCTCCGTCCCCCTAAGTTTGGGACGGAGGGGTGTGGTGTGGTTTTTAAGAAAAAGTGGAATTGTGTGGTTGGTATTGAATTGATAAAATGTAAATAAAGTAAGAATGAATTCTAACCATTCAAATGTTACCAAATATGGTATGGGACAAACTTAATGGGACGGACGAAAAAGGTAAAACGAGACAAACTTAGGGGGACGGAGGGAGTAGTTGGTAAATATCTCTATTAAGTGTATGTGTGGTAGGCATAAATCTCTATCATCTAGCTTTTACTATTAAAGAACTGCTTAAAAGTTTCTAGTTGTAAGTTTGATCCAACACTTTTTAAGAGCTTTTTTGTACAAAAAATGTCCCTTTTGAGAAACTACAATAATCGCATCTTAGAAAAGTTTGTGAACTTTTAGTATTAATTATTGACTATAAACCTCAATTGTTATCTTTTTTTTAAAATTTTATTATTATTTTTTTTTTATTGTTTTTACTCTAGGGGATCTGGGGGAAGGGAGTTGGGGAGAGTCTGGAGTAATCATGGCTGAAACACATTCCATTGAGTTTCCAACACTTGTGTGCCTAGCATGATTCGAACTCGAGACCTCCCACTAGACACGGTAACCTCACAATCATTTAATGGTCCCTGGTGAGTAAAGTCTAGAGTGGGGGGATAGACTTTAAACTCTTTTTGGTTTATTAACCCTTTTTCTTCTAATAGAATGAATTCCAATACCTTTTGAGGCTGAAAAGGAAGTGCCAACTTTACTAACTATGAATAATAGGTGAGATTTGTTCAATAAAAACAAATCATTATGGTAGAAATTGGTCAATGATCTGGATAACAGCAGGAATCGTTCAAAAGGAGGAAATTTGAAACCAAACATAAGTTTCAAGACACTAGGAACTCATTTGAAGAAAGAAGAAATCAGCAGGAAAATTAGCTGGCTCAAAGAACTGTCATACCAGTCCACTAATTTCTGTTGTCGAAACAGTTGTCTGCTGAAATATCATTAAGCTGAAACCCAGATTAAATACACAAGTCTAGAATACCAAAAACCATTTTTCAAAAATTGGTATCTTATCTTTAAATGACTTGAGAAACCTGAAAATCAATAAAGGAATCGCCAATTGATATCCAGCATCAATTAATAACAATTGATATTGGATAAGTCAAATTGGCTGATACTGTTCAAAATTCTAGATCAATGATGAGGATTGATCTAAAGAAAATTCCTGGAAATCAGACTATGGGAATGCTTGAAAATGAAATCAGCCAAGCTCAATAAATGACTCAACACATTTGGGAAATAGAGCAACAATCAATCAGATGACTAGTCCTAAAATTCTCACTTTGCATGTCGGAATTGATTAAGATGATACATAAATGAATCTAAGGGAAGATCATCCTTAATCTAATCAAAAAAGTGAAAAAAATCAAAGAAACGGGAATTATGGGAGCATGCAGCATGCTATCATGACACATGGTGATCAAAGAGCTAACTCGCCTCATGGAGCGCTTTCCAAAGTTGATTCATAAATGAGTAAGGGGTCAGTTTGGTCTTCGAAGTTGTATAAAAGGGGTCAATTAAGTCCTTATATAAAAGATTCTGTCTGGACGTGCCATTTGAGGCGTTTCCCGGTGGTCATTTGAATGTCTTCTGGTGTGAGTTTTCTCACACTTGAAAAAGATTGTAGAATAGTGGTTGAAAGTACAAGTATCGTCTCCACAGGGACATAAAAGGGGAATCAAGAATTAACTAAATTCAGTGATTAAAAATAAATAAAATAAAAAATGCAATTTTGCGAGATTGGTTGGGTTGAAAAATTAAACTAATGCGAATGAACGACGAAATAAAAGATTGGTTTTCTTCTCAATTAACGACGAAGGGAACAGGGATTGATTCCGGGGTAACAAGATTTCTAGCAGATCAGGCCTAATTACATGAAATTAATTTAATTGAGCCTAGCTAATCATTACTAAGTTCTCACCGCTCTCGCGGTGTAGAGTACAATAATTTAGGGGACCAGTCTGATCTCTCATGCGACAGGATCCTAAATTATTGCCAAGACGAGCGAGTTTACGGCCCCTTAATCGCTACTAATCTCTTAGCGAACAATTAAGTGTGTGTGAATGTGTCCTAGAACAAATTAGATCATCTTAATTCATTCTACATGCAATTGTAATTCTAGCTGCAATCTAGGTTACAAGAGATATCAGTTAAATTATTCAAACACAAATTAAATGGCATTCATGCAATTAAACCATCAAGAATCTAGCCATACATCATGATTAACCCCTTCATCAACCTCAAATCCCTAATTAAACTACTCACAATTCATAATTGAAGAATCAACAGAATTGGGAAGAATAGAATTAATTGTCATTAATTAAAAAGATGAAATTAGAAATAATCTCAGGGTCTTGGAGTAAATGATGATAAAAACGCAAGAAATTTCGTCTCTAGGCCTCTCCATAATGTTCGCAACCCTTAAACAGGAAAATAGAGGCCTTATTTATAGAAAACAGATGAGTTTGGGCTGAACTGGGACAAAACAGGGTAATCCGGGCGAAAAAAGGATTTTCCGAAGTCAGACACGGCATGCCTAGGGGCCATGCACGATTGTTTCTGACCTCCCTAGGTACCCGTTTCTTCTACAGGCATGGCGTGCCTGACTGCCAGGCACGACCGTGCCTGGCTCGTTTCTTCCCCGGGGCTTCCGTGCATTTTTCAAGCGCTCGTCACGCGTGCTTCTTTTACGAATTTGACAAAACTTCCTTCATGAAAGTTGCAGATAATGAAATTCTCTGTCCACTACTATTTGCCGAATTGGATTTGAATCATTCAGTCAAGAGGTATGAATAAAATGGTGAAAGGCCCTCATTCTGAAATCGCAACAACGATCATCTGACTTCATCGTCTGTTTTCACATTTCTCCTCTCAGATTCTCGCAATTATGTACTCATAGGATTTGCAGTGCTTGATGTTAGCTTTCATGTGGAACTTGATTCATGACCTTTAGATGTTTCTACAAATAGATATGCTTGAACGATTGACAGAAGGTCGTCCTGATCGCAGTTTTCAAGCTCTTTTCATCTTCTTTTGATCCCGTAGCCAATCATGTCCATGTCACTATAATCAAGTCCTTTTGTTTTCATCCTTATATTGAAAAAGTGCCTCTTTCTAAGTAGGTCAAAATCTTTCACACCTATGTGTTCAGTCTATTCAAAAGTTCAAATAGTATTTCAAGACTATAGCCTTTCACTATGTCTAAAACACTTTAGCAGTAACCTTGTTACAGCAGCCTGCTGAATGTGGCCACTGATTTTGACAAGCACATTGGTTCGTAGTTTAAACCATCTTCCATCAAACTAAAAGGGTCATTGCCTATGTTACTATAAAGTGTCAAATTATATGAGGCCAAGACTTCCGCTGTTTAATTCATTATCTCCCGAAAGATATTGGAACTCACTCTATTAGAGGAAAAAGGGTTGATAACCCAAAAAGATTTTAAAGTCTATTCACCCCTCAGACTTTACCTCACCAATGACCATCATTTTCTCGTCATTGGTTGGTGTTTTTCTCCTCAGCACACATTACTAGAGTTAGTGTCCAATATTTCAGAAAGAAACATGGCAAAAAGTCATATGCAGAGCCGTAGATGAGGCTGCGCAAGCTGGGGTATTGCACAGGGCCTCCAAAAACAGTAGGCCCATTTAAAAATATATATAGTATATATATAAACTAATAGTTTAATTTATAAATAAATACTACGTATATTAATAGGGGCTCATTTGCATTTTTGAAACACTTAAACGTTGAGCAACTTCAAACAAAAGCAACCATACGGCCTACGTCTACCGTCTATGCTCCAAATTAAATGAAAATTAAAAAGGTAGAAATCCCTTCCACTTCCCAAAACAAGTCGGCATAAGCATTACACATTTGCACCCCTACTCTATCTTCTTTCTCCACTACTCTTTCTCACATTCTCTTATTAAAAAGGTAGAAATCCCTTCCACTTCCCAAAATGTATTTACTTTTATGAAAATAATTTATTGAACCTTATTAAAGGATTAATGAATTTACGAAGTTGTAAATTTTATTTATTTCGTTCGCGTGAATAGTAAATTGCACGTGGGACCCACACCGGGAGCGGGGGGCCGCCCGACATTCCCGAGACCACGTATTTTATTCATCTTGGTCAAGATAATATTTATATGGTGGTGGATATTTTATTTGGGTCGTGGAAAGGCGCAGAGCTGACCGATTGGGCAAACGAGGCCCAATTACCGGTACCGACAATTTAACAGATAGCAGCCCATAAATGAATTGCGGAGACTTCCAAATTAAAGTTTTGGAATATATATTATCTCAAAGGGGAATTATGATCGAGAACACATAATATATTTTATTTTGCCCGATAAAATAAAATATGATTAAAACAGTCCGAAAAATACAACTTTCGGGACCGATTGTACACACCGGGACACAAAGGGATGACCTCCCACATGAGTGGGGGCCACCCCACGTTTTTGTGTGCTCAAATTGACCAAAGGAAGGCCAATGGTACACATGATGGGAGGGTGAGACATTGAGAGACACCAAAGGGGTCCCTCTCTCACTTATTAGCTAAATGAGACAAAAGGAACCCATCCCCCTCCTTCCTCCTCATTTTTCTCGACCAAACCATCAAAGAGGGGAGAGAGAAAGCTCTCAAAACCACCTCCATTGTTTCAGCACGAGCTCAAGGAGAAAGGGGTCCAAAAGAGAGGATTTAAGAAGGAAAAAGTGAGAAAAAGCTTGGATAATTAAGGTAATGACCTTATATTAACTTTTCCTTTACTTTTCCTCTACCATATGAAGTATATATCATATGAAGGACCTTTAGTATGGTTCCACATGTTATAAGTATGGATTTATGGGGTGGAAGATGGTTCTAAGTCCAAGAACGGACTTAGAAGCCCAAAACGACCGGTTCACCGGAAAATAGCCTTTTAGAGGTTATTTGTATTAATATGGGTTTTATGATTATGAAACCTTGTTAGGAACTTGTGAAAGGTATTTCAAGTGATTTCACAAAGTTGGAAAAGTCGCCGGAGTTGTCGCCGGAGTTGACCGAAAGTCGCCGGAGTTTCACCGGAGTTCAACCAAGAGGGGTAGAACTTCATAAAGCTAGTTCAAGGTGAGTGGACGGCTTAATATCTTATAACTTTTGGGTCAATTATGAGATTACCTAAATAAATGTTATATGTGTTCATAATGATGTTTAAAAGATATTTAAACATGTGATTAGCTAACATAGTTAAGTGCGTATGAAAAGAATAATTGTTTATGCATGAAATATGATATGATAAATTATATAAGAATGCATATTTGCTTGAAGTGTAAAAGAGGCACAAAGGGATATTATTAACTTAATTATATGGTGATTAAGTTAATAAATGTAAAACTTGAAATGGCGGTCAACGACAACGTTGACCGATGGTTAATGGATTAATTAATATCGGTTGATATTAGTTAATTATACATTTATATGGTTGCATGGATTTGCATGGATTGTGATACATAAGCTTTATGTATTGAACTAGTTATGAATGACTAAATATGATATAGACCCTATCTAGTGTGATATGTGGTAAGTCATAGGTCGGGTGGAGTACCCAAGGATCGGGCGGTTATCCTTAAAACTCGGTTATATAGGGTGGAGTACCCAAGGATCGGGCGGTTATCCTTAAAACTCGGTTATATAGGGTGGAGTACCCAAGGATCGGGCGGTTATCCTCAAAACTCGGTTATATAGGGTGGAGTACCCAAGGATCGGGCGGTTATCCTCAAAACTCGGTTATAGGGTGGAGTACCCAAGGATCGGGCGTGTATCCTCAAAACTCATAGATTACATTTAATGATCTAGGACCGGGCGGTGTCCTCATGATAGTTGATTTGAACAAGGAGGAGTTCTATACACTCATAGGTATATGGGTGGGTTGGGATTTAAGTCAAGGATATTGGCTACTATTATTTTCCCAAATAAACAATGACCTACGGGTCGGGTATTTCCAAGTGTATGTATACTAATATGTATTTCAAACTTGGGGAAAGGACTATACGTATATGTATCACCCTATGTTTGGGTCTTATACTTGAAACGCTAGTTATTCTATATTTAGCTTGCTACTCGCTCGGTACTTGTACTGACCCCTTCGGGGGGCCCCACCATTTTCAGGTTGAAGCTAGGGCTTGCTACTTGCACCTTCTTACGGGTGATATCAACTCAGGGAGATGTGGTTCGTGCTTCCTTATTTTCTTTCAAACTACTGAATATTTGCTCATGGATATTTTTATTTGTTATAAACTATTTTTGGGGCTTGCATGCCCATGTTGTTGGCCGGTTGTGGCTTATGACTTACCGTTGAATATTTCCGCTATTCATTGGTTAAAATGTGATGTTGTTATGTATGTTTACTACTGAGTATGGATGGATTATTTTCTCGAACGCCTTGTGTAATTAAGTGAGGTTGACTCGCGGGTGACGTCACTTGATTATATGGCGGTTGTACACGCGCTGGGATTGCGGTCTGGGGTGTGACAATTAAGTGGTATCAGAGCCATCTCAGTTCTAGACTATATAATTGACCTCTCACATAAGATTTTACAAAAAGAGTTTTTACCGAAAACCATGAGCATTGTATTTTGACGTGTATGGGACTATTGGAGCTTAAGTTGCAAGGCCTCTAATTGTTAAGACGGTACCCTTAACAATTGGTATGGTGGTAACTCGGGCCAATACGTGTCCATAACGTTCTTCCGTCATTTGACATCTATAGGAGTCTAATGACTCATCCATATTTCTTTCAGAAATGGAGGGCAGGCGAATGGCAACCAGGAACAATCCGAGGGGGCGGGCGCCGGTGGCATCCCAAAGGGGAAGCCGGGCTGCATCTCGGGGTTCAAGAGGAGGTCGTGGAGGCCGTGGAAGCCGTGGAGGTCATCAAGCTCAAACTGTGAGTGATGGCCATGTAAGCTCGGTGTACGAAACCAACACCGAGGACTATGACTCTACGTATGTTCCTGAGACGGAGCATGAGGAGACCCCATATGATGGGGGTGACACATACACCGACGACGACAATGATGAGAGCGATGCCCGCTTCGCCCAAATGGGCGAATTACTAGAGTGGTATCAAAAGGAGAAGCTAAGGAGAGACCTTAGGCGCCAAGCGAGGCGGGGCTCTCGTGGTGGTTCGGGTCAAGGAAGCCGGGGAGCTTCCGTGGCCACCCCAGCGGCGTCACAAGGTGGGCGTGAAGGAGGTTTTGTTGTGAGAATCTCCAAGTACCTCAAGGAGGCTAGGGCCTTGGGGTGTAGGTCCTTTGACGGCACCGGTGACATTACCGTTGCCGCCGATTGGATTAAGAAGGTGAAGGATGCATCAAGAGACATGCAAATCACACCGGATGTGAAGTTGACTGTCGCTTCACGGCTACTTGAAGGGATAGCTTCTACGTGGTGGGAGAGCGTGGAAGGGAAGTACCATGGGGAAATAACATGGGCGGATTTTGAGCTAGAATTCTATGCTCAATACTACTCCGAGTACGAGGTGAATGTGAAACGGAGAGAGTACACTAACCTCAAACAGAAAGATGGTGGCACAGTTAAGCAGCTGGAACAAGAGTTTAGAACCTTGGCTAGGTTCTTGCCAGAGTACGCGGTTGATGAGAACCGCATGACGGAGCATTTTTGGGATGCCTTACTCTTGGACATCCGTGATCGGGCTACGTACTCGCGCCACATGACCTTTAGCGAGGTGGTGGAGCAGGGCCTTCTTGGAGAGGCCCAATGGAATGAAAGAAAAGAGAGAGACGCCGAAGAGGCGAAAAAGAGGAAGTGGAATAGTTCGGGGCCACCCGATCATTCTCGAAGGAACAACCATGGTGGTGGCGGTGGTTCATTCAAGGCGCCGGCTCCACCGGCAAAGAAGAATAGGGATGCGAGGTGGAACAGGCCTAGGTCACAGAACTCGGGGCCACCTAGATGTCCCAATTGCTCAAAACAACACTTTGGGAGGTGCAATGAACCACCGAGGTGTTTTAAGTGCGGGAATGCGGGCCATATGAAGGCCAATTGCCCTCAATTGATGCAAGAGAGTGCCTCGGGAGCCGGGGGAGGGACCATGACGGGAAGGAACCGTGTGGGGCCATCACACGGTGGTACGGGAAGAGGCGGCGCATCCACAAGTCATGCCGCGTCCGTCAACCAAGGTGGGACCCAAGCTCGAGTGTACGCAATGACCGAGGCGGATGCGCGAGCAAACCCGGACTCCGTTGCAGGTAATACACTAATTTCCATGTATTTCTAGGCTTATTTGTATCATATAGGCTGTTGGGGGTTGAGTGCGGGCCACCCCGGGATCAAACGGAGCAAATTTGGGCGAAATCGGGCGAAATCGGGCTGATTTCTGCCAACGCACTCCTGGCTGGCCTGTACGCACGGCCGTGCGTTCCAGTGCGTTGGTCCGTGCGTTGGGGGCAGTAGCCTCCATTGGGGGAGGCAAGCTACGCACGACCGTGCGTACCCCCTACGCACGCCGTGCGTTGGGGGCAGTAGCTTCCATTGGGGGAAAACAAGCTACGCACGACCGTGCGTACCCCCTACGCACTCCGTGCGTTGGGGGCAGTAGCTCCCATTGGGGAGGAAAGCTACGCACGACCGTGCGTACCCCCTACGCACGCCGTGCGTTGACCCTAGACACCCGAAACTTGATTTTTTCGCCCTGTTCTTCTACGTTTAGACCCCCGTTTGATTCCAACCATGAGTATGAACCTACTAACCTTCTAAAGATGTGTAAAAACATTAGAAAATGTATCTCACATGGTGTATAAATGTAGGAACATTAAAGATCAATGGTAGGTGTGCGAGGATCCTCATCGATACCGGGGCACAACGCTCATTTGTAAGTGAGGCATTCGCCGAGGGCCTTGACGTGCCATTGACACCTATGACACAAACGTTGCTAGTCTCCACACCGTTAGGAGACGATGTGGAGAGAAATCATTACTATCCATCATGTGAAGTGAAAGTGACGGGTCACTCCTTGACCTGTGATTTCGTACCTCTAAGCATGTTGGAGTTCGATGCAATCCTAGGAATGGATTGGCTTGAGAAGCACCATGCTCGTGTAGATTGCTACACCAAGGTGTTGGAGCTCGAGGATGATCAAGGAAACACGCTATGTTTCGAAGGAGATCGGGGGGAATCTAATGCTTGCATCATATCCGTGATGAGAGCACGGAAGATGATGAGAAAGGGGTGCCACGCATACCTTGCTTACGTGGTGGACGATACGAAGAAGGAAGTTGACATCAAGGATGTACGAGTCGTGTGCAAGTACCCGGATGTCTTTCCCAAAGACCTACCGGGGCTTCCACCCGATAGAGAGATCGAATTTGTAATTGAAGTGGAGCCGGGAACCAAACCCATTTCGATTCCCCCTTATCGAATGGCACCGGCCGAACTTCAAGAGTTGAAGGTCCAACTACAAGAATTATTGGATAACGGATTCATCAGACCCAGCCATTCACCGTGGGGGGCACCCGTACTCTTCATGAAGAAGAAGGATGGTACACTAAGAATGTGTATTGACTACCGACAGTTGAACAAGGTCACAATCAAGAATAGGTATCCCTTACCGAGGATTGATGACTTGTTTGACCAACTTCGGGGGGAAATCGTGTTCTCGAAGATTGATTTGAGGTCGGGGTATCATCAGTTGAAAATCAAGGAGAGCGACATACCTAAGAGTGCATTCCGCACTAGGTATGGTCATTACGAGTTTCTTGTGATGTCATTTGGTTTAACCAACGCACCGGCAGCATTCATGGACTTGATGAACCGAGTGTTTAGTGAGTACTTAGATCAATTTGTGATAGTATTCATTGACGACATCTTGATATACTCTAAAAGCGAGGAGGAGCATGAACGTCATTTGGGGCTTATACTTGATCGGCTAAGGGAAAAGCAACTATTTGCCAAGTTCTCTAAATGCGAATTTTGGCTCAAGGAGATTGGGTTCCTCGGTCATGTCATATCCGGTTCGGGCGTAGCTGTGGATAACGCCAAGATCAAAGCTATCATGGATTGGGAGAGACCAAAGAATGTGAAAGAGATACGTAGTTTCCTTGGCTTAGCGGGGTACTATCGTAAATTTGTTGAAAAATTCTCTGTATTGGCGTCTCCATTGACGAAGCTCACAAAGAAAGGGGCCAAGTTCATATGGGACGACAAGTGTGAGAAGGGGTTCCTTGAATTGAAGAAATGACTTACCGAAGCACCAGTCCTTGCCCTACCCATACAGGGGATAGGGTATGACATCTACAGCGATGCTAGCATCCAAGGGCTTGGATGTGTACTAATGCAAAACGGTAAGGTGATCGCCTATGCTTCTAGGCAATTGAGGAAACACGAGGTGAACTACCCTACTCACGATCTAGAGTTGGGGGCGGTAGTGTTTGCATTGAAGATTTGGAGACATTATCTCTACGGGGAGACGTGTCACATTTATACCGATCACAAGAGCTTGAAGTATGTATTCACTCAGAAAGAGTTGAATATGAGGCAGAGGAGATGGATGGAGCTGATCAAGGACTATGACTTGATCATCGACTACCATCCCGGAAAGGCCAATGTAGTGGCCGACGCATTGAGCAGAAAGAGTACGTCAGGGACATTACTTACTTACCTGCAAGCGCTGAGGGCACACGTGGAGGTGTCCACGAGCGGGGCGCTTATTGCTAGGTTCGAGGTTAGGCCTACATTACTGGGGAGGTCAGTAGATGTCAGGCTATTGATGAGGAATGTCAGAAGATTCGCGAACGGATCCTTGAAGGGCCCGTTGAGAATTTTCGAGTACGTGATGACGGTCTGTTATTGTTTAAAGATCGTGAGTGCATACCAAAGAATGAAGAACTCCAGAAGTCAATACTTGAGGAGGCTCATTCTTCAGCTTATGCTATGCATCCAGGAGGTACTAAGATGTACCGAGATTTGAAGGAAAGTTACTGGTGGTCAGGTATGAAGAGAGACATTGCTGAGTACGTGAGTCGATGCCTTACTTGCCAACAAGTTAAGGCAGAGCACCAGCACCCGGCAGGGCTTTTGCAGCCACTCACCATCCCAGAGTGGAAGTGGGAACACGTGACCATGGACTTCGTGGTGGGGCTACCACGAACGGTGAACAACTATGATGCAGTTTGGGTAGTGGTTGATAGACTCACCAAGAGTGCACACTTTTTGCCTATCAACATCACTTATCCTCTTGAAAGATTGACCAAGCTATACACGAAGGAGATTGTGAGGTTACATGGGGTCCCAACATCCATTGTCTCGGATAGGGATCCACGATTCACATCCCGATTTTGGCCAAAGTTTCAGGCATCTTTGGGAACTAAACTAAAGTTTAGCACAGCCTTTCACCCACAGACGGATGGGCAGTCCGAGCGGGTGATACAGATTTTGGAAGATATGCTTAGGGCATGTGCTTTGGAGTTCCAAGGAAGTTGGGACAAACATTTGGCTCTGGTGGAGTTTGCCTATAACAACAGTTATCAGGCGAGCATCGGCATGCCTCCATATGAAGCATTGTATGGGAGGAAATGCCGGACACCGTTGTGTTGGGATGAGGTTGGTGAGGCCAAACTCGAAGGGATAGAGCTAGTTGAGATCACCAAGGCCAAGGTGAGGATCATTCGGGATAGACTGAAGGCTGCTCAGGACCGACAGAAGAGTTATGCTGATAAACGGCGGAGACCGTTGGAATTCGAGGTCGGTGATGAGGTTTTTCTAAGGATTTCTCCTTGGAAGGGCATCATTCGGTTTGTATCGAGGGGCAAGCTTAACCCCCGATACATCGGTCCATTTGAAATCCTTGAGAGGATAGGGGCCGTGGCTTACCGTCTCAAGTTGACACCAGAACTTGAGAAGATACACGACGTGTTTCATGTATCGATGCTCAAGAAGTACATACGGGACCCATCCCATATTCTCGAGAAACCACCGGTAGAGATCCGTGAGGACTTGCAATATGCGGTGGAACCGGTGAAGATAGTAGGCCAACAAGTGAAGAAGCTTAGGAATAAGGATATTCCTATGGTAAAGGTTCTTTGGAGGAGTGATCGAGTCGAAGAAGAAACATGGGAGACCGAAGTCTCAATGAGGGAGCAATACCCATTTCTCTTCGATTAGATACTTGGATTTCGGGGACGAAATCCCAATTAAGCGGGGGTGAACTTGTAACACCGTCCCCAAATATATTTACTTTTATGAAAATAATTTATTGAACCTTATTAAAGGATTAATGAATTTACGAAGTTGTAAATTTTATTTATTTCGTTCGCGTGAATAGTAAATTGCACGTGGGACCCACACCGGGAGCGGGGGGGCCGCCCGACATTCCCGAGACCACGTATTTTATTCATCTTGGTCAAGATAATATTTATATGGTGGTGGATATTTTATTTGGGTCGTGGAAAGGCGCAGAGCTGACCGATTGGGCAAACGAGGCCCAATTACCGGTACCAACAATTTAACAGATAGCAGCCCAGAAATGAATTGCGGAGACTTCCAAATTAAAGTTTTGGAATATATATTATCTCAAAGGGGAATTATGATCGAGAACACATAATATATTTTATTTTGCCCGATAAAATAAAATATGATTAAAACAGTCCGAAAAATACAACTTTCGGGACCGATTGTACACACCGGGACACAAAGGGATGACCTCCCACATGAGTGGGGGCCACCCCAAGTTTTTGTGTGCTCAAATTGACCAAAGTAAGGCCAATGGTACACATGATGGGAGGGTGAGACATTGAGAGACACCAAAGGGGTCCCTCTCTCACTTATTAGCTAAATGAGACAAAAGGAACCCATCCCCCTCCTTCCTCCTCATTTTGCTCGACCAAACCATCAAAGAGGGGAGAGAGAAAGCTCTCAAAACCACCTCCATTGTTTCAGCACGAGCTCAAGGAGAAAGGGGTCCAAAAGAGAGGATTTAAGAAGGAAAAAGTGAGAAAAAGCTTGGATAATTAAGGTAATGACCTTATATTAACTTTTCCTTTACTTTTCCTCTACCATATGAAGTATATATCATATGAAGGACCTTTAGTATGGTTCCACATGTTATAAGTATGGATTTATGGGGTGGAAGATGGTTCTAAGTCCAAGAACGGACTTAGAAGCCCAAAACGACCGGTTCACCGGAAAATAGCCTTTTAGAGGTTATTTGTATTAATATGGGTTTTATGATTATGAAACCTTGTTAGGAACTTGTGAAAGGTATTTCAAGTGATTTCACAAAGTTGGAAAAGTCGCCGGAGTTGTCGCCGGAGTTGACCGAAAGTCGCCGGAGTTTCACCGGAGTTCAACCAAGAGGGGTAGAACTTCATAAAGCTAGTTCAAGGTGAGTGGACGGCTTAATATCTTATAACTTTTGGGTCAATAATGAGATTACCTAAATAAATGTTATATGTGTTCATAATGATGTTTAAAAGATATTTAAACATGTGATTAGCTAACATAGTTAAGTGCGTATGAAAAGAATAATTGTTTATGCATGAAATATGATATGATAAATTATATAAGAATGCATATTTGCTTGAAGTGTAAAAGAGGCACAAAGGGATATTATTAACTTAATTATATGGTGATTAAGTTAATAAATGTAAAACTTTAAATGGCGGTCAACGACAACGTTGACCGATGGTTAATGGATTAATTAATATCGGTTGATATTAGTTAATTATACATTTATATGGTTGCATGGATTTGCATGGATTGTGATACATAAGCTTTATGTATTGAACTAGTTATGAATGACTAAATATGATATAGACCCTATCTAGTGTGATATGTGGTAAGTCATAGGTCGGGTGGAGTACCCAAGGATCGGGCGGTTATCCTTAAAACTCGGTTATATAGAGTGGAGTACCCAAGGATCGGGCGGTTATCCTTAAAACTCGGTTATATAGGGTGGAGTACCCAAGGATCGGGCGGTTATCCTCAAAACTCGGTTATATAGGGTGGAGTACCCAAGGATCGGGCGGTTATCCTCAAAACTCGGTTATAGGGTGGAGTACCCAAGGATCGGGCGTGTATCCTCAAAACTCATAGATTACATTTAATGATCTAGGACCGGGCGGTGTCCTCATGATAGTTGATTTGAACAAGGAGGAGTTCTATACACTCATATGTATATGGGTGGGTTGGGATTTAAGTCAAGGATATTGGCTACTATTATTTTCCCAAATAAACAATGACCTACGGGTCGGGTATTTCCAAGTGTATGTATACTAATATGTATTTCAAACTTGGGGAAAGGACTATACGTATATGTATCACCCTATGTTTGGGTCTTATACTTGAAACGCTAGTTATTCTATATTTAGCTTGCTACTCGCTCGGTACTTGTACTGACCCCTTCGGGGGGCCCCACCATTTTCAGGTTGAAGCTAGGGCTTGCTACTTGCACCTTCTTACGGGTGATATCAACTCAGGGAGACGTGGTTCGTGCTTCCTTATTTTCTTTCAAACTACTGAATATTTGCTCATGGATATTTTTATTTGTTATAAACTATTTTTGGGGCTTGCATGCCCATGTTGTTGGCCGGTTGTGGCTTATGACTTACCGTTGAATATTTCCGCTATTCATTGGTTAAAATGTGATGTTGTTATGTATGTTTACTACTGAGTATGGATGGATTATTTTCTCGAACGCCTTGTGTAATTAAGTGAGGTTGACTCGCGGGTGACGTCACTTGATTATACGGCGGTTGTACACGCGCTGGGATTGCGGTCTGGGGTGTGACACAAAATGTCCTTGATTTCTTGTGTACTCACAAATTTAAGGCATTAGATGGTGAAACTATGAAAGTTTAAAGGCTTGTTGTTGTAGTCATTTTGAAAATGCACTTAAATAATGAAAATTCTGATATTGATAGAAATGAATTATTTGTTGACTTAAAGTTACTTAGATTTGAACAATTATAATGTATCTTAGATCTATGCATTTTCTTTACTAAAAAAGCATCATTTGTGTGATTCGCACCGGGTCTCTTAAGATGTCAGGCCGGCCCAAATCATAAATGAAATACAACATAGTATCCAATTGTTTAAGCATGTGATGGCTAAACTAAAACACACACTGAAGAGAAATGAGAATTAGGGGTGGGCACAGGACACGATAGGAGGGAAATTAGACTTCCTTGGTACCAAACCCGGTTTCAGATAACGGAACGGAACGGAATGGGACAGGACAAGACATTGACCTGCCGTTTTCTCTTTTAAATCAATATCGGGATAGAACGGGAAGGTCCGAGACATCACCAAAAAAACTGCAGAGAAAAAAAACACCGAAAACGAATCAAAGCAATTTGCAAAAATAAAATAACATATAAGAATTTGATGACAAAGAAACTTCAAAATTAAATATACAACACATAAAGAAACTTACGATAAATGCAATACAAAAAATAGTAGATTAATAGAAGTATAGAACAGTTGCAAGAAACAAATTGTGTATAACAACAACAATAACTTCATGAACACATACAAAACTACCAAGAAATCTGTAAAACTAAAAATTGCTAAAACAATATTATTATGGGTGAAATATGTGGGAGTAAAAGTGAGTTTAGTAATAATTCATACTTGATAATTTAGACTCCTTTAGAAGTTTTGCATGTTAGACAACTAATACTTGATAATCATTGGTATTTGGGTTGTGGAATAAAATGAATATTACTATTATATTGGACTACTTATTGAATCGATGGTAGACTCACTAACCCACTACAATATACAATTTTGAATTCCGGACAACAAGGCGGAAAGGGACATAGTTTCCTTGTCACGGTCCCGTTTTGTTTTGAAACGGTTTGTTTGTATTGAAACGGGGAAAAATATCATGTCCCCAATTTAATGGGACCATTTCGGAACAAAATTGGAACGTTTCGGAACGGACCAACGGGATCGGGTCTTTTGTCTAGCCCTAGTTAGAATCCTAGAAAGCAAACACTTCATATCCATGCCAAAATCAATTGGATTTACGTAGATATCCTTAACAAGTTATACCTTTCTAGAACATATGGTGAATGAACTCATGAAATAGGTATAAAATTCAGAATCGATTGATTTTAAAACATGCTCGAATAACAGATGAAATCATGTTTAACCTCTTTATCTCATTAAAAAATTCACTTGAGATGGAGCCTGGATATTCAGAAGAACAAGGCCAACAAATAAATTGCATATCATATATTGAAATGTGAATGTAGCAATGTGCAGATACAAGTAAAATAAATCACATTCACATTCTGATGCTACATATTAAAATAGCCTGACATATACCTTTTCAAACTACTTTTTTACATCTGAATTCTGAAGTCATCACCTAAAACACTTTCCAGGTAAACACTTCCATCTCTACTTGCCCACAACATTCACAGAATAGGTGAGATAGCTCTTTGGAGTTCATAGCACTCACGAAACCTTCAAGAACCTAGCTTAATTAGTTGCTTCATCAAACACCCCTACAATAGTTAGACATAGCTTACTTCATCTAGTAGTCGTCTTAACAACAAACCTGAAAACAAAAATATATCACTGAAGTATCGCTTCATTTAAGAAACCTAAATAACTCTTCAGTATATATCGCTGAAGTATCGCTTCATATAGTCGAATATATACTGAAGATAAACTAATAAGAAAAAATATTTTAATTTCTTCTATGGAAAAATAAAAAAGTTTTTAGAATAAAAGAGGAAAATGGATACAATGCAGCAGAGCAGAGAATACAAATGGTTTCAAAATCCAAGAAAGTACTAGGATGAATCTAGCTTTCTTCACTAATTAAAATAATTTTGTTTCACACAAATTATGTCCGGTCAAGATTTAAATTTATATGGTGTCAATGCTATTATGCTAATTTTGGAATTGAAGAATACCCCTTTGTCCCTAAAAGAAGTTCCATTTCGTTTATCGAGGGTCAACTTAAATCACTCTTAAACTCTTGCTTTTTATATCAAAATTTTATAAAAGTTGAATTATTTTTTGTAGGCTTTGTAGCGGGTTTAATGTAGTTTCTGAATATGTAAATTTTATTTACTAAAAATAATCCGAGTTTAGGGATCATTTAACTTTATCGTCGGTCAACCTCCGTAATCCGCAATTGGAACAACATTTAGGGACGGAGGGAGTATATCTTTTCAGCTTTTGATATGCGTCTGTCAACTGTGTTGTTTCCTGTCTCATATGGATTAGAATTAAAACTTTGTGAAATTAACAAATTTAAAAGCATTGCATGATGTAGTCAGTGTTGGAGGTATTGGTCCTACCAAGGCCTCCCTTCCACTTTATTTGCTGAGGCATGCACCCTATATTTTACTCCCTCTTTGGTACCTTTTACCTTTGTATATTATCTGATCAATAATATATCAGTTGACTCCTTACCTGGCTTTGGCTCCTGTGCTGTTCGCTGCACCTTGTCTTGCTATACCCGTGAGTGTCCTTTGGCCATCCCGTGAATGTCCTTGTTGTCTGCCCATTGGCTGGCAGCCTACTATAAGTCAACACTCCTCCCCTCTTTGTGATAGCAGCCTGCGTGAGAAAATAACCAGAGAGAGCAGTGCTCCCTTTCTTTTTCCTTTCCTTTGTGTGAGAGTGTAGAGAGGCCCTTTGTGGAGAGTTGAGAGATAGGTGTGTTATAGCCTCCTCCTAGTGTGGTGTTTGTGAGTAGTGTGTAGAAAGACCTGAGCCGGAGATGGAAGTATACGGTCCTTACAGTCAGTTTAAAATGACTACAGGACATTTTAAAACTGTGATTAGAATTACAACTTTGCGAAATTAACAGATTTAACACTCTTGTATTTTAAAATGATTTGTCATTTAATCAGTTTAAAATTATAGACGTAATTTATGACTTAAGAGTTACATATACTCCGTATGATTTAGTTCCGTCAGCTTAAAGGTCACAATTTTTTTTGTTAAAAATACCTTTTGTCTTCATTTTGATGAAAAAAATTATATCAGATCATATAAAACATTTATCATACAAAACAGATCACTTCAAAAATTTAGAGAGTACATTGAGTCACCGACGTAGCCAGGGGCGGACGCCCTTTCCCCCTTTGTTCAGGGGTATTGAGGTGAACACCCAAAATTTTGAAAATAAAATGTAAAACTACATGTATAGAATTGATGTAATAATTTATATGTTGTATTTTTTATACTGTTTGTACATGTAACCCTTTTTGCTAGTTTTTTGTTGTTGAAAAGGTTACATTTCCTCAATTGTGGGATCAAATAATATTATTGTGCAATATATATATATATATATATATATATATATATATATATATATATATATATACACACACACATATATATTAATCATGAATTTTTTTGAACACCCAACGTTCGGTTGCAAGATCCGCCACGGGACATAGCAATCCAAACAAACATTTCAACATAAAACAAGGCCATTTAATAAATTTGGTGGCGCAATTTCAATTCTAATATAGAAATTAGAATTGTTCATGATCTAAATATTATAGTCAAATTAATTAAATACTCATTAAATAATACAGGTTTGCAATTAATTAAAAAATTACTAAAAGTTATTTAATTTTTTAATTAAACCAACTAAACTTATTATTCAAAGTAATTTGAGTAAAAGAGAACTAAAAGAACCAAAGAATAAAAAACATATGGATCTGTATTATTATTCTTTCTTAGCTTACTCCATTTATCTTGCCAAACTGTATTAATATATGGAGTATAAGGATTTTTTCACTTGGACTGTAATTTGCTGATCTGGTCTAGTCTGATCTGGTCTGGACTGATCTGGTCTCTTTGTATTTTTATAACTATCTAAGTCTGATCTGGTCTGGTCTGATTTGTTCTGGTCTGATCTGGGACAGATTACAGTCCATTAAAGAACCGATTTAACCTATTCAAAAATGGCCCTATACAAAGAAGCAAACAACCTAAATTGGGTACAAGATTTTGTAGCAAAACAACCCACCTAAATACAATAAAAATAAAAAACTGCACATGTAACTCTAGCTGATCAACGGTGATTGAGTGAGTCAATTGGGTTGAGAACTTGATATCATAGTTTCTATCCCAACAGTAGCGATATGGGAGTTTCATCCAATGTAATTGTGGCCCCATGAGCACACGAGGCCTTGAAGTCTTGAACCACCTCATTTGGTATTTAACTTTTTGAAATCATATGGTGATTTACACCTCCATCATTTGGTCAAGTCCAGTATGAGTGCTTAGGGTGGGTGATGACTCCACAATAAAGAAAAAAAACACAAATAGAGAAAATTCTAAAAAATGAAAACAATAAATTAGTATAGGTACTTCAATTCATGTTGTGTAGTGAGTAGTCTTGGTCAAAACCTCAATTGCCTCGTTTTTGTAAATTTGTATAAAAGATGTTATGTAATTAGTTGTTAAGAATGTTTTCACTTGAATTAGAATGCTTTGATCTTACTTAATTTGATTTATTTAAGTTTGCACCGGTCTGTTTTGGAGTGATTTGATTTATTTAAGTTTGCACCGGTCTTGATCTAGTTTGAAATTAATATCAGTTCAACCTCGGATCAAGCCAACCATGATTAACAAGATCCGGCCAAACCAGAACAAAGTAGAATAGACTTAGATAATCGTTTATACACATAAAATAAACATTTATCAGATCGGACTAGACTACTCGTTAGCCATGATCTGACCTAAATATATCAAATAAAATTTGATCAAATCCGGCTAAAAAGGTCCTTTTAAATAGTGGAAGTACATGGGTTATATGTCATTTTTCATGGACCTAGTGGGAAATTAAAATTTGACGGGAACAAATTCCAGAGGGAGATCATGGGC